GCATCATTAATAGGCTAACGAATCGTAAAATAAATTGAGAGTGGAATAACAGACTGTCTGTCATCTCCTAAAAATACTTTTTCCCCCTAAATACTAGAAGACTTCACGGGCCTAAAATATCTGATTAAGCTCTAATTACACAACTTGCTAATAACTGTCTAGGGCTCATTGCACAAAAAAGGCAATGTCTATTTATTTGAGCAATTAAAAATTAATTGGACTGAAAACGGCGGGACCTTACTTTTTAATTGGTATCACCAAATCATGGTTTAATATTTCTAAATTATTGCTTCATCTGAAACTGTATGATAAATCTCTAGAGTATCCGAATATTCAAAAGGGTCCAGTGCTGGTCCAGTACCTTACGAGAGATCCTCATTAAAAAGAGAGAACTATATGAAGAACGCACCTGTCCTGGGGACACAGAAGTAGTGCAGCTTTGTTTCCGGAAGCAAGCCAACATCTCAGTAACCTCCGTCTGTAGCTCCTCACGCAGGGACTGCAGCGGACTCTCCAGTGCTAATGAATACACTGACTCACACACACGGACAAAATAAAGTTAGAAATATTATAAAGTCAAAATAACCAAATTGAAGTAAAACAAGGAAGACTGGGCTGAGTGCAATAAAACAACTGCACTGCTAATTAGGATAAGTGATTATATAAGCAAATTCCTGTAAGAATATTACTGTATTTATATTACATATTATTTGTACACTACCATTCAAAAGTTTGGGGTTCACCAAGGCAATATCCATTTGATCAAAAATTCAATAAAAACAGTAATATTGTGAAATATAACCACAATTTTTTTTAATTGTTTTGCATATTAAATATTTTAAAATGCAATTTATTCCTATGGTGGCAAAGCTGAATTTTCAGATTCATTACTCCAGTCTTCAGTGTCACATGATCTTTCAGAAATCATTCTGATATGCTGATTTGGTGCTCAACATTTTTTTTTATCAATATCAGTGTTGAATATAGTTGTGCTACTTAATATTTTTATAGAAACTGATTTTTTTTTTGATGAACAGAAAGTAACAGCATTGTGTTTCACAATGTCTTTACTGTCACTTTTAATCAATTCAGTGCATCCTTACTGAATAAAAGTCATATTTCTCTAAAAAATTACCCCCAACTTTTAAACAGTAGTGAATAAATTACATATTTTATTAAAAAAGTAAATAAGGTCACATTTTATTTCATATTGGTATTTGATTCATATTCATATTTTTAAATACATTTCTTGCAGTAGAATGCGAGGAGCGTCTCGGCCTGGCTGCTTCTAAAGGTGTCTAGCGGTTGACTGGAAGCGGACAGAATAACGGTGTGTATGCGTGTCCTGTTCTCTCCGGAGGAGCTACTGTATGACAGCATAAACTACACAAGCAGATGAGAAGACAATCAAACCAATATATTAAAGGGGTCATATGATGTTGCTAAAATGAACATTATTTTGCGTATTTAGTGTAATGAAATGTGTTTATGCGGTTTAAAGTTCAAAAAACACAATATTTTCCACATTATTGTTTCTCCTCTATGCCCTGCCTTTCTGAAACGTGTGGATTTTTACAAAGCTCATCGGTCTGAAAAACGAGGTGTGCTCTGATTGGTCAGCTATCCAGTGTGTTGTGATTGGCTGAATACCTCAAGTGTGTGACGGAAATGTTACGCCCCTACCATACTGTGATGCCGTGTCCAGCCGGAGCGACGAGACAAAAACATGAAAACCCATTATAAACGAGGCATTTGTTGCATGCAGTGGGGACATAATTACGGATTATAAATGACTTATACTGTCTTTTTACGCGTTGCATCGCGCTGCGTAAGCATTAAACCTGCATTTGTGATCGGAGAAATGACAAACAACAAGCGCTACTCTACACTGCCCAAAACTTGCGTTTGAATGGTCAGTGGAAAATTCTTTGTACATAAAAAACGTACTTGCAGTCTGTGAGTCAGAACATTGTAGTCTACTCTACCAGGATCAGGAAACAGTCCTCCATAAAATGCGCTAGACACATCTGAATATTTGGATTGAACTGTTCTGGAACAGTGTTGTAAATACAACTTAACCACTGATTTCTAGTCGTGTCCATTTTTGGAAGGCCACTGATTTGTAGTCTTGTTTTGTAAACAAATTAGTTTCTCTTTCACAACGAAACACAGCGTCACACACGGCGGCCTAGAGTGACCGGAGGCCGGTGGCTAGAGGGAGCGGTGGCCGACAGATTAGACGAAGGAGCGGCCAGCGGGCTTGCGGCAACCACATG